TGGGAAATCCAGTGGTGTAATTCAGACCAAGTCCAAAGGCCCGAAAACCAGAGGAGACAATGGTGTAAATCTCAGTCAAAGTGCAGGAGAAGATGAAATGAGATGTTCCAGCTCAAGTAGTTGGGCAGAAAAAAAAGGCGGTAAGTTCTTCCTGACTCCACCTTTTGTTCTATTCTGGCTCTCAATGGATTGGATGATGGCTACTCACACTAGGAATAACAATCTCCTTTACTGAGCCCACCTATTCAAATGTTATTCTCATCCAGAAACATCCTCACAGGCACACCCAGAAATAATAATCAATCTGGGCACCCCATGGCCCCATTCAAGTTGATACATGAAACTGACCATTACAGTCAGATTTTTTTAAGTACATGTGGTAGGATTCTATTTATATAAATGTTCTGGTTACCTACTGTGAAACAGGCCATCCAAAATTTAATGGTTTAAACAAACAAACAAACATTATCCATTTTGGCCTCAAATCTGCAATTCGAATAAAGATTCATGAGAGTGGCTCATCTCAGCTCCATACAGTATCTGCTAGGCAGCTCTACTGAGACTGTCAGAACTATTAATACTTCCAAAATAGCTCACTCATATGGCTGAAAAATTAGTGTTGGGTGTTGACTGGAAACTCAGCCAGGGCTGTTGGCTCGGGCCTCAGTTTCTTCCCTCATAGGTTTCTCTGTGGGGTACTTGGACTTCCTCACAGTATGCCAACTGGGCTTTAAGAGAGAGTATCCCAAGATTCAGGAAGCAGAAGCTGCCAGTTTCTTAAAGCACAGGCCTGAAAACTGGCACAGCATAACTTTGACTATACTCCATTAGTTAAGCTCTTATTGTATATTCAAAGCTAGGGGACGTAGATCCCACTTTGTGATGGAAGGAATGTCAAAGAGTGTATGGGGGGGCTGAGCGTGGTGGCTCATGCCTGTAATCCCAGCATTTTGGGAGGCTGAGGCAGGTGGATCACCTGAGGTCAGAAGTTCGAGACCAGCCTGGCCAACATGGTGAAACCCCAGCTCTACTAAAAATACAGAAATTAGCCAGGTGTGGTGGCGCACATCTGTAGTCCCAGATAATCGGGTAGACTGAGGCAGGAGAATCACTTGAACTGGGGAGGTGGAGGTTGCAGTGAGCCAAGATTGCGGCACTGCCCTCCAGCCCAGGTGGCAGAGCAAGACTCTGTTTTAAAAAAGAAGAAAAAAAAAAAAAAGTCTATGGGCATCTTCAATCTCCCACACTGTAGTACTATACTACAGAAAGGGAATCTATATTGATAGGAATCAGAACAGCATTTGCCTTGAGGGAGGGAAAGTGGCAGCGCTTGACTGGCAAAGCTGATAAGTGAAATTTCTCGGGTGGTAAAGATGTTCTATATCTTAATTAGGTGGTGGTTACAGTAGTGTATAAATATGTAAAAATTCAAAATGGGAAAATAAAGATCTGTGCATTTCACTGTAGAAAACCTAGAAGAAATGGATGAATTCCTGGACATTTACACTCTCCCAAGACTAAACCAGGATGAAGTTGAATCCCTGAATAGACCAATAACAGGCTCTGAAATTGAGGCAATAATTGATAGCCTACCAACCAAAAAAAGTCCAGGACCAGACGGATTCACAGCTGAATTCTACCAGAGTACAAGGAGGAGCTGGTACCATTCCTTCTGAAATTATTCCAATCAACAGAAAAAGAGGGAATCCTCCCTAACTCATTTTATGAGGCCAACATCGTCCTGATACCAAAGCCTGGCAAAGACACAACAAAAAAGGAGAATTTTAGACCAATATCCCTGATGAACATCGATGAAAAAATCCTCAATAAATTACTGGCAAAGCAAATCCAGCAGCACATCAAAAAGCTTATCCACCATGATCAAGTGGGCTTCATCCCTGGGATGCAAGGCTGGTTCAACATATGCAAATCAATAAACGTAATCCAGCATATAAGCAGAACCAAAGACAAAAACCACATGATTATCTCAATAGATGCAGAAAAAGCATTTGACAAAATTCAATAGCCCTTCATGCTAAAAACTCTCAATAAATTCAGTACTGATGGAACATACCTCAAAACAATAAGGTCTATTTATGACAAACCCACAGCCAATATCATACTGAATGGGCAAAAACTGGAAGCATTCCCCTTGAAAACTGGCACAAGACAGGGATGCCCTCTCTCACCACTCCTATTCAACATAGTGTTGGAAGTTCTGGCTAGGGCAATCAGGCAAAAGAAAGAAATACAGGGTATTCAATTAGGAAAAGAGGAAGTCAAATTGTCCCTGTTTGCAGATGACATGATTGTATATTTAGAAAACCCCATCGTCTCAGCCCAAAATCTCCTTAAGCTGATAAGCAACTTCAGCAAAGTCTCAGGATACAAAATCAATGTGCAAAAGTCACTAGCATTCTTATACACCAGTAACAGACAAACAGAGAGCCAAATCATGAGTGAACTTCCATTCACAATTACTACAAACATAATAAAATACCTAGGAATCCAACTTACAAGGGATGTGAAGGACCTCTTCAAGGAGAACTACAAACCACTGCACTATGAAATAAAAGAGGACACAAACAAATGGAAGAACATTCCATGCTCATGGATAGGAAGAATCAATATCGTGAAAATGGCCATACTGCCCAAGGTAATTTATAGATTCAATGCCATCCCCATTAAGCTACCAACGACTTTCTTCACAGAATTGGAAAAACTACTTTACAGTTCATATGGAACCACAAAAGAGCCCACATTGCCAAGACAGTCCTAAGCCAAAATTATATCTCAATTTTTTAAATAACTATTAAAATTACTAGGAAATAGATCCCTTCTAAGGAAATAGATTTATACCAAATAGAAGTTTAGGAGTCAGTAAGCTCTGAGTTCTGTTGAAAACTCTTCTGATTTTGATTTTCAAACAATTACTCTAGTACATCAGGAAATAATGTCTCTTAAATTAGGATAAAAGCCATCTTTTGGTCAAACAAGCTCACAACCCCAAATTGTCACAAAAATAAGATCAACTTTTTATTCAGCATAAGTGTTAAAATTTGATAGTTTTTAATGTACCTTTTACATTCTAGTTTTGAGAACACTGAAAAAAGAAATCTTAGCTAAAATAATTTAAAAACCACTTTCTGAAGTGTATTTCTTTGGTGCCATCAGATTAAGAACAGTATTTGACATCCTGAACTTGGTGCCCCTCATTAGCTTTAGGCAATATGAGTTCCTCAAGGGCTTCTTAAAAATCACAAAAGAATTACTGTACTTTCAAGCATATTTCATTATCTTTCATTTATTAGTAATTGTTGCTTCCTATATAGTTCTAAAGACAATCCCTTTTAAAAAATCCATTCACCAGAATATTCCCATTTTTTCAGGCATTCTGGATAACGAAAGAAAAGAGCACAATAGAACTTTAATTATAAACATTATTATTGATGACAATTTATTTCAGTTGCAACACTAAACTAGTATCTATGTTTGCAAAGGACTTCAGCTGGAAGCTTTGTGCCCTGAGCCATAATCCTAGCAATTGACCCTTACTGAACAAGATTTCTTCATGTGAGGCTGCCCTCCAAGTAGGCCATCTCAGTGGTGAAGCAATTGGTGCTGGTGAGTTAACTGTTGACTGTCTTCCAGGGTATTCCCAGTTGAAACAATGCTTAGGACTCTACATGACTCTGTCTTACCTCTCTTCCAGCCTCACTGCACTCCAAGTGATCTTCCCCCAAATCTAAGTTCCTGGACATTAAATGTCATAGGTAAATTTATGATTCTCTTCCCAACTAGAAAGAAATTACTCTTGGCTGCCTTCCACCTCTTTTCTTTCATCTGTGTTTGCAGGTACACTTCTATTAGATAATGCTACCTAGCACAGCTGCAGCTTCATCAAGAACTGCCGTGTGCATTTGATCAGTCTGTTTCTTATCCTGGAACCTGTATTTGCATCTCATGCCGCACATGCCCAAAGCATGGGATGTGTGGAAAGGGTCAGTCATCAGGGTGGGGGGACTTGAAGTCTGCTCCTTTTTGGAAATCCTTTTCCCCTAACTACTAGGCAGCCAGTAACTTTAGGACTATTTCATGGATGTCCATGTGTTCTAATGCGTCTCTTCCACCATGTCTGCTTTCCTCTAAAGTAAATTACCTTCCGAATGATCTCTTTTCTCTCCTCACACTGCTATCGCAATCAAAGTTCCCAGGTCCTCAACATAATTGACTGACTAAATCTCTCTGAAGTAGAACCATTGATAGGCCCAGACCTCACAGCAATACTTATGGAAATGGATTCCTACTAAGTGGAAAAGTGTTAAAAGTAGGGTAGGTAATTTTTAGCAGAAGCCACCTGTTCCATGCCTATTCTGAGATCCCATCTTAGAATTTACCTGTTTTTCCCTCGTTCTATTGTCCTATCAAAAGAATAAGGTTCTTCTGTGACTTGAAAGCCCATTGAGAAACTTGCTAGTCAATGTTACAAGGAGTTGAGAGTTGTTGTTTGGGGGGAAGTGAGATGGTGTAGTGATATTTTGTTTGTTTGCATTAAGTTATTATTGAGTTCCAGATGAGCTGGGATACTCAGTCTTTCTGCATTGGCTTATCCCTTCCGTTTAAAAAATATCAAAATACTTTTATACCAGTTATTAAACAGTCACTACCCACAACCCCTTGAAGGAACTTCCTGTTTCCCCAGAGCCCTGAAGCTCCCCAGGCTCTGGCAATTCAAGGGTTAATGTCTGGCATGTACAGTGAGGGGCCTCAGAGGCCCTGCTGCAGCACTGTGATGGGTGTCCATTCTTTTTTTATTATTATTATACTTTAAGTTCTAGAGTACATGTACACAACGTGTAGGTTTGTTACATATGTATAGATGTGCCATGTTGGTTTGCTGCACCCATTAACTCATCATTTATATTAAGTATTTCTTTTAAGGCTATCCCTCCCCCAACCCCCCAACCCATGACAGGCCCTGGTATGTGATGTTCCCCGCCCCGTGTCCAAGTGTTCCCATTGTTCGATTCCCACCTATGAGTGAGAATATGCGGTGCAAACTATCACAAGGGTGTCCATTCTCATTGGGTGATGCTGACAGGACACCAGTTGATTATCATGTAAGCAGATGAGACCACAAATTAGATACTTTGTTCTGTTAACCATTTGCTCATATGTGAACTCTGAGTTAGCTGTTATCAATGGCCAATTGATAATTTAAACACAACAAACCACATTAAATGCTCTTCTATTTTACTGTATAATGCATATATGATTTTCAGTAAGTTTAAGCTCTTAACTATGCTTTTAGGCTAGTATTAGGCTAGTATTAAAGATGAGTAATACAAACTAACTTATTATTTCCCAATACTTAAGATATCCTGTACCCAAGGGAAAATAAGAGAATAAACAAGAATCAGGTATTTCCTTATGCTAGGCTCTATCTCATTAAATTCCCATGAAAACCCTCCATCATTATTCCCATGTTGCAGATGGGCAAGTTAATACTCAAGAGTGTATCTAATATCACACAACTCTCTAAGCACCAGCACAAGAATGACTTATTATGTGCCCCTCCAAAAACAGTGTGAGAAAGTGTGAATGTGCCTAGGAAACTTAGACTCAGGGAGGTTAACTAGCTTGCTCAGACTTACTCCAGACTCCCTCTTCCTAGGAATATGAACTTGATAGTGTGAAAATTGCACTATTTCAGACATATATTCAACTCAAACTATCTCTCCTTCTTCAAGGCTCCTGTGTGCTTCCTTCTACCCTCCTATCCTCTGTAACCTTGGCATCCATCTTTATCAGAGCCTTATAGTCTTTCTACACACACACACACACACACACACACACACACACACACACCCTGCTTCTCTCCTCACAATAGCAGGACTTTCATTAGTTCAATTTAAAAAGATCTCAGAGTCTTTTCTTTTGTTTTAGGACTAAGTGTCCCTTTTTCTTGCTCACAGGGCAGTGAGAGGAGTTCAATGTTTTGCGGCTTATTGTGCACTGGGAAAGGAAGCCTGTTCTTACAAGTCTGCAAATCATTCTTCCCCTTGTCTGGGCAAACAAATTAATCTAATCATGAAAGAGTGTTAAGAGGGGGAGGGAAGGAGAAAAATGGGAGGGGAGTGGGGAAAAGGGGGAGAAAGGACAACAAAGTTGAAGAGGGAAGAGGCAAGAATAAAGACTTAAAACAGAGACTGCCATGGAAGAAGAATGTTTCCCATGATTAAGGGGTCTTCTTTCAGAAGAAAACTACTTTGGATGCAAAATAAGCCCTTCTAATGATAAACTATTTGACTTCATCCAATCTCCATGGGTCCCATCCAAATTAATTTCATTCCTTTGTCAGGCTCCTCCCCTCTTTAGTTCTTTACTCCATCTGTCCTCTCTGAAGAACTGCTGGGCACTCTAGCCTCACACCTTTCTTCCTGGCTGCTTTGGGCTTCCAGGACCAATCTTTCACACAAAGGCAGCTCATGCAACGACACAGGGAGAGAGAACTAATTGGCAAGGGCCATTCTTAATGCTTCAGAGAAAACTCCAAACAAATGGAAAATTCCAAGCTTGTTTTAAATAGAAAGCTATTCCTGTAATTCTTAATTCTATAATTACCATGTTGTGTGGCTCTGGCAATGAATCGCTCCACTTATATTTTTCTCTAGAAAACTCTGCTTTTAAGGAACTACTTACATATGTCAAATAATCCAGTAAATAAAATTTGTATGTCATGCAAACCAGTTATATAGCTAGCATTCCCTAAACAACAGAACCAGCTTCAGAGATTTAGCTCCAGAGGGGATCACTGAAATCGTCTAGTTAATAACCTCCTTGTCCGGGGCCCAAAGGGCCAGAATGAATTTCCCCGCTTCACTACACAGTTAGTGGTCATGCTAAGAATAGAAGCCAGGTCTGAGTTCTGGTCCAGTGACCTGATCTCCTTTATTGTAAAATTGGAAAGTTGATAAAGCCAGAAAGGGCTTACATTTAGAACACTGGGAAACAGTCTTATATTTATAATAAGCCCTTAACTATAAACATGTGACCACTTTTCAAATTCCGGTTTTCTTTCCCTTCCAGCACTCAGGTTTTGCATTAAGAAATAAAAGCTGTTCTTCATCTAAATTCAGCAGTCATTGAAAGGGAAATATGCTGCCTCAGAAATCATACACAATGTGCTTTATGGTCACTTCTACATGTTCAGAATCATCCATTCTTCTGATTTATGCTTGATATTGTTCTTTTGCATTACTATGGATAATTATGCATTGCCTAAATTTTTAAAAACCAGTAACAACTTCATCAAATGTGTTTTTACAGTTTTCCCAAAATATTCATTGTAATTTAAGAATGGCTTTATGCATATTCCCACTTAATTTTCTTCATTTCAGATTTTAAAATTGTCTAGCCATAAGACTACACTATCTTGCTTCTTCTACCTTGTTTACACTTCACTCCTTTTCTCCTTTACTGATTTTTCTTCTGCCAAATAAATGTGAATGTACGCCCAAGTCTTTACTTTAAGCCACTCTTCGTACTTTGGCCAATGAAAGTTCCAACTTTTTGTCCCTTTGAAAAGAAATCATTTCCTATATGTGTTCCCCTCCCACAAACTCAGCACCTCCTAATTACCCAGGAATCCTTCTCCTTTGTTGACGTTAATTAGTTATACAGTCTCAAGATTCTGCCTTCCATTTCATTTCAATTTAAGTTAACAAATATTTTCTACCCCTTACTTTATGAAGAGTGCTGTACTAGACCCTGTGTGGGATAAAAATGAGCAGGTTATATTCCCTCTTCTCGAGACAGTACTTGTCAACAAGGAATGTCTTCTCCAAAAAGATAAAATGGAGCTGATAAAGTGTCAACTTTAAAGGGATATTTTAAGGATTAGATGAACTAATATGTGTAGTTCCTAGCATATGCTAAATCCTCAGTATAAATTACCTGATATTATGTTACTTTTATATTATTGCCAAATCATTGCTTTGATCCTCTCCAGTCCTAACATGCTGACAAAAGTATATACAGTACAAGGCTAAATGTGCTAAGAGCAACAGAAGAGCTAGCAGACACCATTTTAAACAAGTGGTTACATATCCCAAGTAATGAGACATACCAATGTAATTTAACTCCTGATATGATACACTGAGAGGGCACCTCACGTGTGAGATATCTGTGCCATAAATGCATAATCTGAATCAAACCAGGAGAAAACATGAATGAACCCAGATAAAGAGACATTCTACAAAATAACTGTCAAGACTCTTCAAAAGTAGTAACATTATGAAAGATGAAGAAAGACTGGGAAGCTGTCTCTGATTGAAGAAAATTAAAGAAGCATGCCAGCTAAATGCAACATGTGATTCTGGACCAGATAAAGGACATTAGTGAGACAATTGTTAGGAGCTCAGTCAAGTCTGTAGATTAGTTAATGGTATTGTATCAATGTTAATTTCCTGGTCTGGATCATTATGCTATGGCTATTCAAGTTATTAAGATTTGAAAACACTGAGCAAATAGTATATGCAATTTTTTTGTACTATGTTTGCATTGTTTGAAAGTCTGAAATTATTTCAAAATAAAGGTTTTTGTTAAAATAACAGGAGTCATATAAAGTACAGGCAGAAGACAAAGGAGAGAGAATCATTCCTCAAGTCATAAGTCAAAGGGAGGGGAGGAGGGAGGACAGCAGAAAGATTTTTGGGGATGGAAGCATTTGAGGCTGCCGATATTGAGGAAAGATATTCTAAGCAAAGAAAAGAACAGAATTAAAAGCAGCAAAGAACAAGGTATGTTTTGGATATAAGTAATCATGTTCCTTTGGATCTCAGTGTCTTTGAAAGGGAAGTAGTGTGAGACAATAGTGAGGGGTGGATGTTTCTGTGTCTCTGTAGTAGGCTGAATAAGGCACCTCCCCCCAAAATGTCCATATCCCCATCCCCACGACTTGACAATATGATACCTAACATGGCATAAAAGACTTTGCAGATGGGATTCAGTGAGGACCTTGAGATGGGGAGACAATCCTGGATGAGCCAGGTGGGCACAAAGTAATCACAAGGGTCCTTATACAAGAGAGGCAGGAAGATCAAAGGCAGAAGGAGGAGATGGGACAAAAGGAGCAAAGGTTGGAGTAATGCACTCTGAAGATGGAGGAAGAGGCCATGAGCCTAGAAATGCAGACAGTCTCCAGAAGCTGGGAAACACAAGGAGGCAGTCCTGCCAACACCATGATTTTTGACTCTGACCTCCAGAACTGTAAGAGAAGAGATTAGTGTTGCCTTAAGACTCTGTGGTAATTTTTTACAGCAGCAATCAGCAACAAATACAGTCTCTATACCTTACTTTAGTCTGAAACTCATTTCAATTTCACCTCCATCTGGGCTAGGGTTACAGTCTCCTACCTGTTCTCTCTGCTTCTATTCTCCATTCCTCCTTTCTATGAAAGAATGTCAGATTTATTTTTCTTATGCCCTGGACTGAGCATGTCATTCCTCTAAACCAAAGCTCTTAGGCATTCACAGTAGCTGCTAAAACAAATCCACGCTTACTATCCTGGCATTTAAGAACCTCCACAATCTGGCCTCAAAGTGCATTTCCATCTTTATCTGTACTTCTCTGCAGCATTACCTTTTTACCTAGGCAAGCAGACTTAGTCACAGTCTCCAGGGCTCTCCTTCTGTATTTCAGAATGCCAGCTTTGAAGGTCCAGGTCACTCTTCCCCATTCTTCCACATGCCAGTTCATAGTGATTTCCCTCTCTGCTGAACTCTTAGAGACTTTAATGACTGTGTGGTCTGTCATCTGTTCATAGAGTCCGGAGTGCCTGAGAATTGAAACACAGGAAATCAACTTAGACTGGATGGGATTGCCATCTAATGATATGATTCAGAGTTTTATGTGTGAACCTGGGAAGCAGATTTAGAAAGTACTCAAGTCAATTAAGGTGTATAAATTAGAATTTTGGGAGCAAAACTAAAACTAATAGAGAAAAAAAAGTTCCAGACAACATGATTTAATGAGTAAGAGGCCCTATGCGTTCCGGCTTCAAAATCCTGGATCTATTACTGAGTAGTTTTATTCATACAGCTGAGATTATTATTGATTAACTGACTGTGCTTGCTCAGGCTGTTATTATAAGTCAATCTTCTGATGATAGTAATTTTCACATATAGCTCTTCCTATGAAGAGAGAATCTGCTGGCATGAACTGTGGTTCTCATTGTAAATTGGCATTTAGTTTCATACATCAGTCTCTTATGAATTTGGTTATTAAATTGATCACTAAGGCTAAGTCCAAAATCACTAAATCAAGTGAAGGAACCAATGTAATTTGCTGCATTGCTCTGGCCAATGAAGGAACTTTACACTATCTGCATCTGAATTATTTAGACTGTCTGTAATGATCAAATTCACCAGATTATTGCTCAACTTTCTACTGTAATTTGCATAGATAGCCTCCATGTGAACCTGGCATTGTCCCTGGAAGTGCCAGGCAGCTGCTCCATTGAAAACAATAACAGCTGTGAAGCTTAAATCACTTCATGTTTCAGTAAGATGACAACAACATGGCATACAAACAGCAGACTGAAAATTCTTTTCAGATAATGCTTGTTGAAAACACAGAACAGAAAAAAATCACACAATTCAGTTGTGTGCTTTAAATTCCACAGCTAGAGAAGCCAGGGCCTCCCTCAGAGACCCTAGGTGATTAATGGTTTTATAGTGTTGTCTAGAGCATGCTACCTTAGCACACACATTGAATCCCATAACTCTCATTCCTAAATGAAACACAAGAGAACTAAGCAGCACTCAGTACGAGTCATAATTTCGTTCATATTCTGGTGTTAAGTCACAGTAATTAATATATCTATAAACACTTCTTGATGAAGCCCTTTTATATTCTTTTTACTCAAATTCTCTCTTTGGCAAATGATTACAGAATTACATAAAGTCCCAAATCCCAACAAACATATCTAGAATGAATAAATAAATAAATAAAACATCTTATGTTTCTTTGCACAGTTTCTCATTGCAACATAGTAGTATATATCACTACAAATTAGTACAACCAATCATATAAAATCAAACTCATAAAGACTTCAGAAAGGGGGATGCTAAACTCACAAGACTTCAGATTACCAGAAATTCAGAGACAGTGGAAGTTGACAATTTCAACAAGTTTTCTAGCTGACCTTTAAATGATTTTGATGAAGAAAAGGGCAGGCCACTTGAGCAGGAGAAAGAAATGCTCACCTATGTCAAAATATTTGGCAGGCACTGGGTTGGGCCCTCTGGCCTGAATGAATCTCAAGTCTGTCAGAGGACAGGCACTTCTATTACTTTTGGATTTGAAAATAAGAGACCCCTGTTTAAAACCAAATATTCCAGCCAGGGCAATACCTCCCTATGTGCCATCAGGATCCTTTTCAAAAATCTAATCTAAAATTCTTTCTCTGATCAAGTACAATAAGTGGTTTTCCTGCTTAAAAGCCACCCGCTGGTTTCCATTGTCTCCAGCATAAAATCCTAGTATTTCTTAACATAGTCCATCCCACTGTGGTCTTGACATATCTTTTCTTCTCTCATTTTTTTAAGCTGTAATTAACAGTTATTTTTTATTATAAAAGTAATATGTGGTTACTATAGTTACATTAAAAACACAAAAAAGCATAAATACTAAAATAAAACACCCAGAGATAACCGTTATTAATCATATTTAATTTTATGTCCTGACAGTTGCTTTTTGCTATGTAGGTATACATTCTCTCTATGCCCTTTTCTTTCACTTTTTATTTGTTTTTTTCTATTGTTAGTTCTTTGCTCTAGGCATATTTTCATGAGTATTTTCTCTCCCATTACTTAGAAAGTCATTAGAAAGGGATCGTAATGAAACCATTTTAGTTTACAAGTTATTAAAGATAGCTACAGGAAGATAATACATGTTATGTTAACCAACATTTTCTACTACTTTTTCTATTTTTTTTTCCTTCTTCCATTTATTCAGGGGTGTTTACTGCCTTAGGATATTGTTACAGCAACATTTGGGGAGTGGGGGCTACATCAAATTCTTGATGTCTGAGCGTCCAAAACCTTAATATTTGAGGACCTTATAACATAAAGCTTATACCACAAAGTGTGGATCCAGAAGAATATGTTAGTAGAGTTTGCCCAGGACTGTCCTGGCTTAACATAGTAAGCACCATGTCTCAAGAACACCCTCAATTCTGGCAAATTGGGACAGTGGATCACCTTAGCAAAAGCCAGCTCTTTGTGTTCCCCGTTGAGATAAATACTCCACATCCCTGAAGGGAAAGTCTTAGAAGGCAAATCCTTGAGGCAGGGCTCTCTTTCTGTATTTCAGAATGCCAACTTTGAAGGTCTAGGTCACTCTTCCCCATTCTTCCACATGCCAGTTCATAGTGATTTCCCTCTCTGCTGAACTCCTAGAGACTTTAGTGACTGTGTGGTCTGAAACCTCATGTCATCTGTTCTTGCCAGGTGTCATCCCTGGATTGATAAGATGGATGGTGTCCAGAGCACAGTCAGTGGCTCAAGTGATAGAAAGGAAAAAATTCTGATTATCTGCACTTTTTTTTTTCCTGAGAAAAAGGAAATGAGAGAGTTAGGAAGTATGAGGAAAAGTGTGGAGGAAATCATATGTAAGAGAAACATGAAAGGGTAGGGACAGTGTCTACAGTTGCTCACCCTGCTGAGGGTAGGAGACCAGGCCAGTCAACACAGCTATATCATTGCCCCCAGCCAGAACCAACAACCCACAACTGGGGGCTAATGCAAGTGTCCTTGAAGTGACTTGTCATTGACTCCTCAGGGCACAGTTGAATTCCTTCATTTTACAGATGAAAACACAGAAGCCTACAAGAAAAAAACTTACTCAAGATCATTTACTCAGTGGTAGAGTCAGGATAAAAGACCAAGATTCTATACTGGTTATGTTCTATACTGGTTATGTTCACTAATTATTTGAAACAATATACATAATCATTATAGGACCTATTTTGGGGTTTACATAGAAATATTTGAAAACCCTTAGGAACTCTTCAAACACTAAGGTTTTATTTTACTTACAAACTAACAAATGAGCCTGTTACTATTTCACTGATGGCTGACAAAAGGCATGAGACTCCTGGAATGGAGAAAAAAGACTTTATTACTCATAGCAAAAGCAGTGACCAGAGTTTCATGGTTGCTTGCTTCAGGTATCCATGTGCCCCAAGTTTTATGGGGTAACACAAAGGGCTCATGATGGATGCCTGCAAACAAAATGGGTTGTATTTACAGGAAAGGAACACTGAGCTCGGGGATTTATTGTTTTTATACTAAGCAGAACCTAGCCTGCCTTTGGTCTCCGGGGAAATATTACATCATCCTTCAAGGTCACTCACTACAAACTCAACTCTAAGAAATGTCTGGTAAAGAGTAGACAAGACCCTGTGTTCTTGCCTGGCACACCCAGCAGGAGCATGCAGGGATACTCAGAGCCCATGGAAGAAGACTGCCTCTCCCAACAACTATTATTTAAACTAAATGGAGTAACAAACCTACGTGGTTATAAAGTATAATATTGCCCATTAGATTTCCCATTCCTTTCCAAGATTGGGAGTTGACTCACCATATTTTAGGAAATAAAATCTTTTTCAAACACTGTGGTACTTTACAAGCACTATATGGACTCCTATAGTCATTTATTTCACTGATCAGTTTTAAAGTATGGCTGTTAAACAAGGGTGATATTCCAAATATTTAACATGGACACCAGTCAATCAGAGCAGAAGTTGGCTATCAACAGTGAGTATACCACACAGTTGTATCAGCTGCTAAGTTCTACTAAGACTGAACTCAGGTTTAACTTAAGATACAGGAAGTTGAACACCAAGAATCTGCTTTAGTATATAACAAATATACCGTATTTGCCTAGGGATAAGGCAGATATATGAATGCTTGTTAGTGATAATGTTGCTAGTCTATTTGATCTAATTAAATTGGAAGTCAGTTCAGAAAATAACTTTATGACTCAGAAAGAAAGAAATGCCGTTATTATTTTCCCCATTTTCAAATGAATATGAGGAAACCTGCGTGCACAGACATTAACTTGTTTGGAAGGCCAGCGTAAAGTATGGCTTCAGCTCAAAGAAATTTCTAGGGAGCAACTATTAGAGAAAGGTCAAAGAATTCTTCAATTTAAAAAAAGGTAAAATAATCTGGGGTTATGTTTTTATAGTCTTGAGGAAGTATTATGAGTGACTAAAGCTCTGGGGACAACTAAGTGGCACTTAAGATGCTTCCTTTACATATTGTCAATGGAGTCTGTCTGGCTAGTCTCTCCAGGAGGTAAGATATAATTGACAGTAAAAAGCTTCCCAAATAAATTATGCTATTTTCACTCTCATTTGGAAGAAATGCTAAGGCTCATGCATGGCTCATAGCCACTAATCAGCCACCTACAAATCCAGAAACATCTCAAGGAGAAAGCTCTTGCTTCTTTTTCCTCATCCACTCAAGCAAAATAATTTTAAGATTTGTTTCTTGGGAATCCAACCCAGATACATCTTGCCTCATGGTTCTAGAACCATTCAATGAGAAGGACACAGATGACCTAATCTGGTAATTGGAAAAACTGTAGTGCAGAAATTAAGAACTGTGAGATTCACCAAATGCCAATTGCAAGGTAGAATGAATCTGTTGAGCTGAGTTAATTCAAATTATCTGGAGAATTGTCTCATGTCTCTACCTCATAGATCTCGAACCACTGAGTCAGTAGATAGGACCAAGGAATAAACTGTGTCTCGTCTTCATTATACCCTTG